ATCCTTGTAATCGGTTCCCCCTTTATGGAACTTTTTTATCCAATCTTTTGCTGTTGACAAAATGCAACAGAAAATATAAACTGTTATAGATTAGATTCTATCTCCCCCAAAACAAGTTCTAATGTCTACTAAATGTGAAGGGAAATGTGGTGAAGTGAAATTACTTGCTAAGCATCTTCTAACCATAGTCTAATTCCCATCAAATGACTGGGTGGGAGCCTACAAACAAAGGTATACAAGACACTTAACTTGGGGAATGGTCAGTTTTGTCAGTCTGGATGATAGAAGTATGAACCATCTCAGCAGAGATGAAGAATCCCATGACCTCAAGAAAGAAGAGTAACCAGTATGTGAGATCCTTGCCGGATATAGCAACGGCAGCAGAGGCTGTAGGACTGAGACCATAGGACAGAGCAGGAGAGCCCAGACCATGAAACAGAGCATGGGGTTTCCAGGATGGCTTGCTAGGTGCTAAAGGAGCTTTGTTAGCACTTTTGTTATCATGCAAGGCAGACTGATGCCAAGGGGGTGAATGGTTAAGAGGAAGAGGAGGACCCGATAAAAGTTGCACCTGCCAGCATGGCCAAGAAAAAGGGCTGCATCCATGTCTTGGATCCTGTTAACTTCCCTAGTACACCTCTTAATCCTGAGCAGTGTCTGCTGAGTTCTGCGTGAGTGCTGCAACAAACTGCTGAGCCTGGCAGAGAATCCGAGTGCCATGGGAAGGATGGTTGGTGTCAAAACAAGGTAAAGAAGGACGGAGGGTCTGACCTCTGCCAGACAGGAATCACCCTTGAGCAGTTGTGGTCAGTGAACATTGTATGTTACCTTCTGTACAGAAAACAAAAATGAAACTTAAAATTCTCATCTCGTTATCTGTACAAAAAGGATGTAGGAAAAAGTACTAAGAGTTACTTTTGATTTGTATAACTTTTTATATCATTTTGATTTCTGAATCATGCAAATCAATCACTCACTTTAAAAAAAACATGAACAGAGAAGGGTTCTTTGTAATTTATCATAATTACTCGCTAACTCCGTATTTATACACAGCACATGCTTTCCACCTACCTCCTCGGGGATGGAGACCTAGAAGATTTCCGTTTGATGGTTTTTGAAGCCCTTGGTGATCTAGAGGTACTCCTGCTCCTCCTCCGCCGCCTGTCCCTAGACACCAGAGATATTATCATTTTTCAAACAAAGCAACTGAAATAAAAGGCAATGCAAAAAAATAAAAGCAACATGTTCTTGATGTCCTTAGAGAATGGTATCCTTCACAAGGCAAGTGGAACACAGGTCCTTTATGAGCATATTATTTTAGTTTAGGTCAAATTATGAAACATGTGTCATACTGGCTTACAAAACCACTTTCTAGGAGGGGGGAGTGGGGAGGGAGGGGGAAAATGAGGACCTAATGCCGGGGGCTTAAGTGGAGAGGAAATGTTTTGAGAATTATGAGAGCAATGAATGTACAAATGCACTTTACACAAGTGATATATGTATGGATTGTGATTAAGAGTTGTATGAGCCCCTAATAAAATGATTTAAAAAAAAATAAACTTTCTAAGACTTCCTATTCCTTTATTAGACAAGAATTGCCTAAGCAGTAAAAACACTAACAAATGCTTAATATTCTCTTAAGCTAAAATAAGTACTTGCTCAACAGCAAAAGCTTATTTTTTGCTTATCAAAACCTTTGTTAAGTATCCTGCTACTTCTTGCCCCACTGTGGATTATAACAAGGTAGCAGGTTGTTGTCAAGAACTGGGAGGTAAGTAATTGTTATGAAGAGGAGTGGGGACGTCCACCATCAAGACAATTGGACAGTCCCTCTTTAGAAGGGCCTCATATAACAGAGGACCTAGTGCTTTGAGATTTCCTCCCCTTGCTATCAAAGCTCACATGTGACATACCTCACTGATCATTGTTATATTTGCATATGTTCCTTTGTACAGTCACGATTGTTCAGTACATGCTAGTCAAGATAGATGACCCTCCATAGACAGTGACAGAAATAAGGATTCCCTGAGAGTACGATAGCAAGCCTGTGTGTGATTGTGGGTGTTGGCAGCATTGATGATTGTATAACCCCACCCGATGGGATTGAACAACAGAACTGTATGGGAAGGGAAGGGATCTACCGGAATAAGTAAGATATGTCAATAAAAATATTTAATTACTTGTTGCCCCACTGTAGATTATAACAATGTAGAAGAATCTTATTTTTAAAAAAACCCTGAGAGCTAAGTTAGCTTGCACAATGTGAACTTTCTAGACCCAGGCATTTCCTGCCAACTTACCATTATTCTGCCCCCTCTCAAAAAAAAAATATTTTAAAAAACCACACAGCTATATAAGTTTTGTTGTTGTTTTTCTTTTTTTTTACAAAGCAACCTTATCACCTTCATTACACTTAATTCATTTGTCAAATCTATGATTCTATTCTTGGAAACAATTTCCAAATTTATCTGTCTAGCATCTCCCTCTTTTTTTGCTTCACCTCTTCTGTATTGTCAAATTACTGTCCTTTCATGTACCTATTCATGGAAGCAAAAGAAGTCTCACAGAGTGAGGTCAGATGAGTAAGGTACGTGCGGCAAGAAAGGCATGCTGGTTTTTGCCAAAAACTGGCACACTAAGATGGCTGTGTGAACAGGTGCATTGCCATGGTAGCAAAACCAGTCCAGTCTGCCACAAATGGGGCACCCCCCCCACCTACACACAGTTATGCTATCTTCTCAAAGCCTCTAAATAGAGAGCTGATTAATAGTCTGGCATGGTGGAACAAACTCCAAATGCACTACCAGTCAACCTTTTTGTCTTTTAGAAAGCTGGCGGATATCCAGAATGAAGTCTGTCATCAATCAACATTTCATCTTTTTTGCAACAAGAAACCTACTCACACACTAGTGCTATCTTTGTAAGCTGTGTTCAACATCACAAGTTTCTGCGGCATTTTTCCTAAATAGGAAACAAAATTTCACAGCCACATGCTATTCTCTGAAATCACAAAAACAAGGTTCAAGCAAAACTGCTTTCATGGGAAAAAAAAAAAACCCCACTGTGACCAGAGAATCTTCCCAGGTGACATCCATCACAGAGTGCACTAACTCAGAGCAAGTTGCCTGATGCTCACCTAGCGGGGAAAATGGGCATTATGAAAGCTCGGCCCAGCAGTGGTTTTCTTCTGGTTTTTTGGGGTGGTACCCCTCATATTAATAGTGCTCAATTAATTTAAAACTGTTTAAAACAAAAACAAACTCCCTAAGTATTTTAAAAGAATTAATGTCAAAAAAATTCACATTATAAGTTTTGCCTTGCAAATATTAAAAAATGAAGTAGGCTCTAAATTACGTCATTTGTAACAGTGCTCAAATTCAAAACAATGAACTTCACATCATGTGCCTAATTCAAGGAATGAGGAAAGAGGACATAATTTATTAAATGATGAATAAACCGAAAAATCTGACATTGAGCTCTGATTATCAGTAGCCAGATGGTTCAAAGTGCCATATCTTGTTGGGTGAGAATTTTAAGACTTCACCACCTCGGTAAATTATTCCATGCTAATAAAACAAGGTGACTACATGTTTCATCTGTGAAGTAAAAAAATAAGTAACGCCCCAATGTGTGGTGACATTGACATAATTACCTGCCAATAAAACACTTGGGGGAAAAAGACAGAAGAGCTCGAGAACTCTAAATGGACAGTTAGGTAACATTCCATTCAGTCAAGGTCATCCTGTAAAAGCACAATAATCAAAATCTTTTCTTAGCATCACTGCCATCCCCAGATTTCAATTCTGTCTTGACCAGTGTAAGCCTTCTGTTTGCTCAGAAAGTACTACGTACAGGTGGCCGCCGTTCAACAACTACTTGATGGTAAAAACAAAGGCCAGATAAATAAATAACACACTTCCCCATCACTTACTTGACAGAAGCTGTAAACTATCGTCTGGAGAACAGAGAGCAGAATTGTTTAGACACAAGATTGAAATTTTAGTCTCACACCGAGTAGTAAATTACTTAACCCGTGCCTCCGTTTTTCAACAGGAAAATGGAGGTAATTCATATTACCCATTTACTAAACGAACCAGAGCATGTGAAAAGCAGAAAAATGCTAAAAGTAACTCTTTGAAAAACTCTTCTGAAAGTATAAAACCTAACAAATGGCTAAATATTTATGAATTACTGTTGGTCAGCATTTACTCTATAGACCTACTTGCAAATCTATTTAGAAATGAATGTGGAACATGTGAACTTTCTTAAAATTCAAATGACTTAGCAGCCTATGATAAAATTAAACATTATAAAATCAGAAAAAATAAATTCAAGTTATTATGCAATGAACGTACAGGCATGTGAGATGCACAACCAACGGAATGTTCGGTAAAGCTGCAGGCAGAAGGCTCAACTTATCTATAAATAAAGTCCACATTACACTTGATTTTTCAGTTTTAATTCAATGTGAAGAAATCTGGCAGAAATCTACAAGGGAGTTTCCAAAAGTTCTTGGAAAATGGAATTAAAAAGTAATAGAATTTCTCCATTAACTTTTGAAAGCACTCTTGTATTTATTTTCAGTCTCACTTCAACTTAATTCCTGTGAAAACTACCAGCTAACTCTTCAGGATAAAGACAGGGCTATCTACTCCTGTGAATAGTTACAGTCTCAAAAAACTCCAGAGGTAGTTCTACTCTGTCCTACTGGGACTGGGTGGCTGAGTCAGATTCAACTCAATGGCAAATGAGTTTGGTTTTGTGGTGTTTTCTTTTGTTGGGGGGGTGTGGGTGTGGGTGTTGTTTTAAATATTGGCTAGAGAATTCTCAATGCTTTCAAACTAAAAAAAAAAAAATTCACTGCCAAGTCATTGTTGACTCATATTAAGCCTGTAGGATAGGTAGATCTACCCCTGAGTTCCCAAGACTGTAACTATTTACAGGAGTAGAAAGTCTCATCTTTTTACCTAAGGAGCTGGCTGATGGTTTCAAACTGCTGACCTGGCAGTTAAGAGGACAACACGTAACCACTATGCCAGTAGAGCTCCGCCATTTATACTCAGTCTTCAAACCACAGGAAGGAGCTATTTATTACAAGGCGACTTCAAAAAGTTTGTGGTAAAATGAAATGACAAGATGATTATTTTCAAAACTTTCTGAAATTCCCTCAATATTGCCAATAGTACAGTATAGAGTAGGTGAACCATCTTTCAACTTGTTTCCTCACATTTTAACAGCCTGTTCTCAGTATTACATAAAGCTTAATAACTCTGCTAAAGCACAGCAGCTGGCACTTAATAAAGCATTTGATAAATGCCTATAATTTTCTTTTATTAACTAATCGAAGATTAGCATTAAGAATAAGCTAAGTAGAAAGCAAATGTTTTGAAAATGATGAGGGCAACAGATGGAAAAATCTGCTTGACATACAATGTATGTATGTATCGATTGTGATAAGAGTTGTATGAGCCCTCCAAAAAATGATTAAAAAAAAAAAAAGAATAAGCTACTAAAACTCGAGTTAAGTACTAAACTCAAAAATTATTTCCTACTTAAAAAAAAAATCATTCTAAAATATCTTTAGAAATTACAAAAATATTTTTTAAATGCTCTTAAAGATATCGTTAACATAAATTAATCCATTTATTTATGGTCCTGGTATTATTTAGGGAGATGGATGTGGTTTTAAATAATCTCGAGTCCTCATTTTGCAGTTGTTACTATGGCAACTTGCTACCACCTGGTGGCAGTATACCTGTTAATAAACTGATGAAAAAATCACAAGAAAACCACAAATCCTTTAAAACTGACAAATTTTTCATCTTATATTCAACAAATATAAAAATTACTTAGATGCCAAAAAGATAAATGTTTCAAGTTTTAAAATTATTTCGTGTATTAAAATGTCACCCATTAAAAAAATTATCAAGTCTCCAAGGTCAGCTCTTCTGTATTTTCATTAAAATACGTGCCTGTGCCATCCCACATGCCTAAATAAATAAAAGCAGAATGAGAACAGTGGATTACAAAGGAATATCAAAAAATTTCAAAACCTTTGTCCAATTTCATCTCTTCTTCATAAATTAAAATAGCATGGTTACAGAGGCAATCTCTTTAATAAGAAACGTTGACTCTGGCACTGTTATACTGCTGATTTGTACTTGGAGAAGAGTCTTTCCACCTCAGTAAAGCAC